AGGGTTTGTTTTAGGGTTTGTTTTAGGGTTTGTTTTAGGGTTAGGTTTAGGGTTAGGTTTAGAGTTAGGTTTAGCGTTAGGGTACTGAGCGCTTGGGAATGTGCGAATTTGCCCTCCGCGATTATGTCATCGCGGTAGGGTCGCGTTTTTCCTTAGCGCTTAGAACGGCGCGAATTAGTCTTCGCGCTTATGTCTCCACGGATAAGGGCTTCGCGGACTTGTGGTGGAACCCTCTTGCAAGACGTCTCCTCACCAGGCTAGGTCACGTCATCAGCGCCAGGGAGAGTGGGGTTTGCCGATGGCGTCGCCAAGCCAGGTGATGAAACGTCTCCAAGTTATCAACCAAAAATTCAGACCAAGTTCCCCACAAACTCAATCTGGGGAGGTTTGACTTTCGATGGAGGATATTCTGAGCAGGGGATGATGGACCACTTCACCAGCTGAGCTTACTACCCCCATCCCCGCTCTCTGGCCCGTCCAACAGACCATCATTCTAGCAAGCCGTGGTGTAAGGCGCAGCGCTCGACTCTGTTTCGCTGAAGCAAAGGCAGTTTCCCTCCTGCTAGAGAGGAAAGTCACAAGAGTCACAAAAAAAGGCTTTTTTGCTTTTTTAAAAGAGCTCAAACATATTTTAAAGCCGTTATCCCGATGTCTCGTTTTTTTTCCCCCAACTCCAATTTTCAGAATGCAGGCAAGTATTTCTCTCCGGTCGGTCAACCTGGTTCCAATTCCCAGGACTTTCCGCTGGAATTTGGGATGTTCTCGTCCAACTCGGAAACCAGAGTATATTTTGCTCCAACTGCAGCTGATGCTCATTCTCATAACTCCCAGGGATTCCATGAAGAATGCGGCTTATTTTTATAGAATTCCTGCCGGAGCTGTTTGGAATTACTTTATATAAATGTGCGTTGGCCGGCCCTTCGAACTATGGTTTAGATCAGCGTTTCCCAACCTTGGCAACTTTTAGGACGCATAGGACTTCAACTCCCAGAATTCCTCAGCATGTGTGGACTTCCAACATCCAGGATTCCGCAACCAGCATGAAGAATTCTGGGCGTTGAAGTCCGCACCTCATAAAATTGCACGAAGGCTGGGGAATCCTGAGAATTGAAGTTCACACATCTTTAAAAGTTGCCGAAGTGGAGAAAGACTGGGCTAGATATTTCTGCGTGAACCAGTTCCTAGTGATAGGCATTGCTCCATGTTGAGAGAGAGAGAGAGAGAGAGNAACTAATCAAGGAGAGAAACAACGTGGAACTAAGGAGAAACCCCCTAACAGTGAGAACAATTAACCAGTGGAACAGCTTGCCACCGGAGGTTGTGGATGCTCCAACACTGGAGGATTTTAAGAAGAGATTGGACAGTCGCTTGCCTGAAATGGTAGAGGTGGAGCAGGGGGTTGGACTAGAAGGCCTCGAAGGTCCCTTCCAGCTGTATTCTGACTAATTGACTGACGGGACTGAAGAGGGCATCGCATCAGACAAGCGAAAGAAAGCACATTTCTAACCAGGGCAGGCATATATCGGATGTGCTACCAGAACTGGCTGACTCACCATCCTGAGCCGGTTATTGGCCCGAGAGGCCGAGCTTGGCGGCTCACCACACATTATCGCACACTTCATGCACTGAATTCCCACGCTCCGAGGACTCCCCCCCAAAAGAGATTTGTGAACCACGAGACAGCCCTCCCCATTCCCTAGGGGCTCTCCTGGGTGGCATCAGAGGGACGTGAAATGACCTGGGGGTGGACCGTGGCTCGCCCCCCCCCCTCTCCCCACAAACCGTTTGTCAAACGGGACCAGCCAATCGGCGTGGCCGTTGGTGAGTTCAACACCCAGGAATGTTGTTTCTGACAGCGTCTAAGGAAGCATTCATTTGAAAAGAAAGGTGGCAAGCGGAGAGGGGGGGGGGGCACCGCACCACTCCTCCCTGCCAAAGCCCTCGAAAGTTTTCCCCCTTTTTCTTTCTGTTTTTCCGGCTCCCCGAGGAGTTTGAGTTTTGAGTTTTATTTCATTTGTATGCCGCCCTTTTCCCTAAGGGGACTCAGGGCGGCTCACAGCTCAAACAAGGGAAGGGGGATACAGACAGTTTAGTAACAACACAAAACAATACGACCCTTTGGAACGATCTCCCCGTGGAGATTCGTACCCTCACCACCCTCCAGACCTTCCGCGCAGCCCTTAAAATCTGGCTATCC